GGTATACTTTTTCTCTCAATGTACGAATGTGCCGCAAAAATAAATATCCAAACACCGATGGCATAAAAAATCACGACATGATTTTTTATGCTATCGGTGTTTGGGCATAAAACATCACGACATGATTTTTTATGCCATCGGTGCACCGACATGTTTGGATATTTATTTTTGCGCCACATTCGTACATTGAAAGAAAAAGTATGTTGACAATTGAATTAACAGTTTTTTCGGTTAAATACATTTAATATTTTCTTGGATGTAAATTAACTATTAATTTAAATCCAAAAAAATATTGAATGTATTTAATCCCAAAAACTGTTTATTCAATATATATGTAGGTATACTTTTAGTCTCAATGTACGAATGTGGCGCAAAAATAAATATCCAAACACCGATGGCATAAAAAATCAAGACATGATTTTTTATGCCATCGGTGTTTGGTCATAAAAAATCACGACATGATTTTTTATGCCATCGGTGCACCGACATGTTTGGATATTTATTTTTGCGCCACATTCGTACATTGAAAGAAAAAATATGTTGACAATTGAATTAACAGTTTTTGCGGTTAAATACATTTAATATTTTCTTGGATGTAAATTAACTATTAATTTAAATCCAAAAAAATATTGAATCATTCAATTCAATTTGAATGTATTTAACCACAAAAACTGTTTATTCAATATATATGTAGGTATACTTTTTCTCTCAATGTACGAATGTGGCGCAAAAATAAATATCCAAACACCGATGGCATAAAAAATCAAGACATGATTTTTTATGCCATCGGTGTTTGGTCATAAAAAATCACGACATGATTTTTTATGCCATCGGTGTTTGGATATTCATTTTTAAGACACATTCGTACATTGAAAAAAAAAGTATGTTAACAATTGAATCAACAGTTTAACATTCAATATTTTCTTGGATTTAAATTAACTATATATAGTTAATTTAAATCCAAGAAAATATTAAATGTATTTAACCGCAAAAACTGTTGATTCAACATAATTTTTCTCTTAGTGTACGAACGTGGCGTAAAAATGATTATCCAAACACCGTTGGCATAGAAAATCACGACATGATTTTTTGTGCCATCGGTCAATCGCAAACAGCGATGGCATAAAAAATCACGACATGATTTTCATTTCTCACGCAGTAACATCCGGATGATGTCCGTATGAATAAAATTTGTGAAAATCACGACGTGACGTTCGTATGATTTTCATTTATTACGCGGTGACTTCCGTATGATACCAGTATGAATAAAATTTGTGAAAATCACGACGTGATGTTCGTATGAATATCACGAATGTTGTCTGGGTCCTGCAACAGCTAGAGAGGAAATATTTCCATCGATTCTGCAGATAATATTCTATAGGCCTCGTGACACAAAATCGGTGCCAAAAAATCGGATCCAATGATAGGAACACTCTCGTCGGCGATGACAAAATTCCAAACAAAGGCACGTCGAAGTCCAAAATTTAAAGTTAGTGTTAAAACGCCATAGGTATGGATAATGGAGTTGTTGGCAGCACGCAGTTCGTAGCTGACACGGCATAGACGATCGGCGAGAAATGTCAGAGGAAAACAACAAATGTCGGAGCCTGTGTCTAATAAAAATGTATGTTTTATCGTACGGTCTAAAACAAGGAGGCGGCGTCCTCCGGTAGGGCAGCCGGCTGCCGCCGTCACTGACTGCCGTTGGAGTTTGTTAAAATGAACGAACAGGGTTGGGTGCACTTGGTGGCTTGGTTGCCGAAACTTCGGTGATACCAACAGACAGTTCTGGATGAGGAATTGGCAGATGAAGAACGGTTGCGACGATCACCCGATGAAGTGTGCTTTCGTGAGCGAGAGTGACGGTTGATTGATTTTATCTCGATCTGCATTTCTTGTCAGCTGTGATAGCAAGTGTGTCGGTGCTGAGGCCGGATTGTCCATTTTGAGTCTGAAGAATCCCCTGGACGTGGACAGGAAGACGCTGCATCCACACGGTGCAAAGAAGGTTATCATAGACTGTGGCGTAACCTACCAAGGATCGCAGATGACGGAGAAACTGGGAAGAGGTACGATCGCCAAGCTCCTCTTCCATTAAAAGCTGGCGCACACCACGCTCTTCTGACACTGACATGCGGCGAATAATTTCTGTCTTTAATGTGGTATATGGTGTGTCAGCAGGTGGATTGGTGATTAAATCTTCAACCTCATTTGCATACCTTTCCTCCAGGTGTGGAAGGTGTGAAGAATATTTGGTTATTTCCCGGGCAATATGGGCGATCATAAATTGTGCTTCGACCTGAGCAAACCAGAGGTTCGGCTTGTCCTTCCAGAAGGGCGGAAGCTTCACAGTAACGCGATGAACTTCTGAGGAAGGAGGCTCAGTTGCTTGACAAACCTGTTTTTTTTTCATCATCTTGCTGACTTAATTTCTGTTGTTGCTGCAGCAGAGCTTCATTTTGTTTTTGAATCATCATGCAATCACCAACCGAACACGATGCGCGAAACGAAACGGACAAAAGTTAACTTGGGAACAAAAACAGTCAGGGCACTATTGCTCTTACCGGGGTCACCACTGTGGGTCGGTAGGTTTACCGAATAACACAAAATAATTCACTTAATAATATTTGAATTTACTAAATTGTCTTTTTTACAGTTCTTGTCAAAAATTGATTTATTTTCTCTCCCTTAGTTAAGGTCGCCACAAGCAAAAGCGTGAAAAACATGGAAAACTATTTCCATACACTATTCGATGTCTTGTTGTTCGTCCATCAAGCTGGCTGAATTGTTGCGACCAATAAAAGGAATTAATTATCATGCATTTAGTTCTAGTGAGTATTTCAGCATGGGTCACAACCAAATTGACTCGTTTTATCTATGTCAAACATCCCTGCTGAAAAAACTGATCGAAAATGGATCGAGTTTAAATCTCTATCCTTTTTGATAAGGTTTTTGTCTTTTGTTTTCGTGACGACGTAATTATAATAATAACAGTCATATATTTTATAAAATAATATTCACAACAATAATTCCGTGGTTTCGGGGAATAAGGGGATAAGTCATTTTTGGGTCTCTCTTTTCAGACTACTGTCATAAGGTAGAGTATGATAAGTTGTATATAATACTACTTTTACTTATTATGGAAACCTTATGAAAAATGGTCGAAAAAGGATCAAGTTTCGATCCTGTTTTCGTGATCAAAAAGGATCGAGTTTCGATCCTGTTTTCATGATCAAATAGGATCGAGTTTCGATCCTTTTTGATCACAAAAACAGGATTGAAACTCGATCCTTTTTCAATCATTTTTCATAAGGTTTCCATTATTAATTCTAAAATAAAAGATACAATTTACAAAACATGAAAAATGTATTGGACATTTTCGTTTTCAAAAATATCAGATGACGACGATGATTATGAAATTCTTATCATTTTTCTAAAACAAAAAAAAAGTGTCCCTTTAGGGGAATATATTTATATTACTATTTTAATATTGTCTTTTTAACTTTTGCAAAATAATCTTGCAAATTTTCATTCATACCTTTTTTCCTTCGGCGATTTTTCTAGTTTTTTTTGGATTTGTATTTTCGTTTTGCTTTAGCTCATATATTTTTTGACTAAGGTATTTCTTTATTTTAGAGAGTTTATGAGAGGCCACCAACTCTTCCACTTTTCTTTCTTTAAGAAGGTAGTGCTCGAAAATACCTGAGAAAAAAAATTTAATTAGAAAGTCTCGAAAATATTAATTGAGAAGCAGACTTTTTAAATGCATTTTGTTCATTTTTAATAATAAAGAAACAAGATAAATTATCCTCGTTTATGGATAAGCTACTGCACCAATCAAAGCTCAAACTTAAAAGACCACGCGCGAAACTTTGTCTCCCAGGTACTTACATTAAACAACATGAAAATTTCGAATTTCGACATTTAATAATTGTGCAATATAAATTTGGAGAAAAAATAAATTACTTAATCAAAATGTTCAATTTAGACAACATTCGTAGATTCGAAATTTTACAGAGAAAGGATACTTGTTTGAGTAATACATCAAATAAAAATTTAATATTATACATAAAAAATGCAAAATTATTACTCCTCAGTGCCAACATTTTTTCAGTGTTCAAAATAGGCATATCTTTTCCAACATAACTGCCGTCCTTAGAAAGCCTACCAACGCATCTATTTGTTAGTTCATTAAAGCCAAACAAAGCAACACTTATTTGCTTTACAAATTTGCCGTATTTCTTGCTAGTTGCACAACTAGATACTACATTGTCATAAGCTTCCTTCGCCAGCCATATTTGTTTGCCCAGGTATATCTAAGAAATGTTATTTTTAGTAATTATATTGCTATGACAAACAAAAAATGGATGATATAATAAAATGGAATAATAAATAATAATTAAATTTTATTTTTTCACAAACATCATTAGAAAAAAGTGGTTGCTGCTATTTGTCTATTGGTATTCTGGAAAGCTTCTGTAATTAAATAAAATAGGTTTTTTTAACGCTAAAAAAAGGTATTACACATCGTCGGTCCAAAGATACTATCTCTGCGTCGGTCCCATGCCATATAATATATTATTATGACACGAATACAGTGTCGGAAATTCCGTTATTTCCTATATGCAACAAGCAAGAGAGAATAATGTATATCAATGTGATTTATTGTGTAATCGCCTTATTCATTTCTCTTCAGCTTGTTGGTTATAGAAAATAACTGAATTTTCTGCACCAAACTTTAGACTTTAAAAGCAATTATCTCAAAATTATGACATCGCACATTCCAGTGGCGGCTGGTGGATTTGGATATACCCATATCTCCAGTTATTAGACATGGGACCCACACCAAACTTATATGAGTTTATAATGACATTAAATAGACAAGTTCGGCGCAAGCAGAATTTAAATTAAAGTTTTCGAAAAAAAGTTAGTTTTTCAGCTGTTGATAAACTATAGTAATTAAAAATTGCACTACTTTAATTTGAATTATTTTAATTAGGGGGGGGCAGGGGGTGGTGGAAACTAGCTGAGAAACAAACTTTTTTTCGCAAACTTTAATTTAAATTCTGCTTGCGCAGATCTTGTCTATTTAATGTCGTTATAAACTCATATAATTTTGGTGTGGGTCCCATGTCTAATAACTGAGATATGGGCATACCCAAAATTTACCAGCCGCCACTGGCACATTCATGGTTTTGCATGAGACCGACGTTATAGCAAAATAAAATATTGTAAACGTGTTTTACTTTTGAATTCAGTCACCACATCTGTGACCTCTGACTGCAATAATATATTCAACCGTTGTCAAATTTTTTATTCTGATGAAGTTATGGGTTAAAACATTCAATCACTCTTGCATTTCGTTCATTCTGTCAAAATGACTGGACCTCTCTGGAGCAATTCTGCTTTTCCTCATGAGAGCAATATGCACATCTTTAGAAAACAAACTTCAGGCCCTGGGGGTTTTACAACAAATCAGCAAAAGAAACTTGCAAATTTTAACGTTAAAAAATCCCGATGGAAATATGTCACAAACAGCGGCTCAATTTTGCAAAAGTCTTTTTGCTCCATACCAACTTAAACATTTCTACAGAGACGAAGAAACCGACGCTGTATTAATAGGTCAAAAAAGAGTGGAAGATGAAAATGTTGCAGTTTTCGACCGCTGCATTTATGATAACGTAATTTATCGAAGCACCATGTACACTCGTTCTGCGAAAACTGACGATACTGTAGTTATGCTGCGTGACAATACGGTGTTGCAAATTTTAAGATTCGAATCACACAACGGGCATTGTTACATTGTAAGAAATAAATGTATAACTGTCCCAGTTCGCGTTCAAAGCAACAATGTTAAAGCTCAATTAAGTTTTTACAGCCGAGTAGTTAAAATTTTGAAAGACTACGAAACAAAAGTAGGAATCGAAAATAATCACCGAAAACTTGTCAACGTACAAGTAATTAATAAACATTATGTTGTCATGATGCCTAACTGTTTTGAAATTCAATAGTTCGAACTTAAATTCCTATTTTTATACCCGCAGCTCTTAAGTACATTCTTATATGAACAAAAACTATGTTACTAGCAGAAGCTATTTAGCGCTGAATATTTTTTTGCTTCATATTGATAATATATTTTATAAAATAATATTCACAACACTAATTCCGTGGTTTTGGGGAATAAGGGGATAAGTCATCTCTTTTCATACTGCCATAAGGTAGCGCATGAAAAGTAGTACATAATACTACTTTTTCTTATAATAAGGAAATGTAATTATAATTACGAATTTCATCATCATCATCGTGGTCATCCGATCTTTTTGAAAGTACCCTATAAAGTTTTCATGTTTTGAAAATTGTATCTTTTATTTTAGAATTAATTATGGAAACATTATGGAAAATGATCGAAAAAGGATCGAGTTTCGATCCTGTTTTCGTGATCAAAAAGGATCGAAACTCGATCCTATTTGATCATGAAAACATGATCGAAAGTCGATCCTTTTTGACCACGAAAACCTTATCAAAAATGATCGAAAAAGGATCGAAACTCGATCGTGTTTTTATAATCAAATAGGATCGACTTCGAAATCTGATCGAGAATGATAAAAAAGGATCGAGAATTTTAAGAACCTAGTAGTCGATCATATTTGACCATGAAAACACGATCGAGTTTCGATAATATATTATCAAAACTCGATCGTGTTTTCATGATCATATAGGATCGACATCGAAATCTGATCAAATATGATAAAAAAGGATCGAAACTCGATCGTGTTTTCATGATCAAATAGGATCGACTGCGAAATCTGATCGAAAATGATAAAAAATGATCGAGAATTTTCTGGACCATGATCAAATATGATAAAAAAAGATCGAGTTTTCAGTTTTTTTCAGCAGGGATATGCCAAACATTTAATACTAGATAATGCCAACCTGTTGGTGATTTTTAAACAGAATTAATTAAATTTAAAACGATAAGGATAATAGTATGAAAGTGAAACGTGTCAAAAAGAATTTTCGTTTATTTTAGGAATTTGTTACTGTTTTTAATAATAAAACTGAAGCTTACTTATCGGCACTTTATTATTTAATTTTATTTCCATACTTTACTTGCTGTACTACTTTTATGATTTCTATTTTGGTTCACTTTCTTAACTTATAATATTTTTTAAGTATAATTTTTGTCTCCTATTTTTGGTTTTACTGGTAATGCCTTTATGACTTATTTTCTTCGTACTAAAATCTATTCTACTGTTTTAAGATACATTTTAAAAGGGACCTTGGTTTCAACAGGACTCTTTTCGTTTCCTAAAATATTGAGTTCGGTTTTAGGAATACCTTCGTTAAGTTATTATTTGTATTTGCCTTGGTTGTCTATATTTTATAATAGTATATTGGTATTAGCCATTTTTGTTTACATCTTATCTGTCAAGTGGCAGTGTTGCCAACGTTATTTTAATCGCACACCTAGATTTTATCTATGGGTTGCACATTATAAATTCAGTAATGCCAACGTTAAGGTTATGTAACGTTCCAGCTGAAGTGACGCTTGGTTTTCTTTTGACGATTGACATGGTGGCGTTAGGCTGTTGAGGGTGTACTACGATTGTTCTGAAGAATTGGATTTTTATCAACCATCTGCTCTTGATGGCGGGATTTGTCTTTAAAAAAACCTATATTGGATCCATTTCCGTATTGGATTTAGAATTTTGGGTCTATGGATTTAGCGGATTCGTCCGGATTTAAAAAGCACATACTCTAGGTAAGCGTCCCTTATCTATTTGTTATCTAAGACTATTTTAATGGTCAAGCCAGCGTCATTTCACACTACACCGTACATAACATCGTTGAATAAAATCCCACCGCTATAACTTGTCATCGTTATACAATAATTTATTCAACCAGGCCTAAGTACAAGTAATTTCTTTGGGAGACCTACCCTATACCGTTATTTTGCTTTTGTAGGGTTTTGTTCTTACGTTTCTAGTTTATTTGGACTTGTTTTGTTGACCCTGTCTGTTGTCTTATTCCACATTTACTGTACACTATACTTACGAGTACACCCATATCTTGGACAAAGTATCCCCAACATTTGTTACCCTTGTTCCGGGACTAAAACTACCGTGAAGGTACCTGGACAAGCATACTATCCCAAATTTGACCCTACTGTGAGTTGGCTGAGGTAGGACTGACATCGACATCCGCTATCTCACCCATCACCCGATTGTGACACAACCTCCCGGATTCGACCTACCCCCTGATTTGACACCTCCACCCGATAAGTTATCAAGACTTTATTCTGCTACCCGGATTAAGCTAGCCTCACATTCGCCTTGCGAGAAAAGGCCAGAACTGCTCCATAACTATTAAAAGAAGCCCTGTATAAGGGACTAAGACTGTCGGTGGAGTGCGCTGCTATCACCCGTACCACGCATCTTCTCTGCGGGGAGGCTTAAGAGGTGGAATTTCATAACCACGCGCCTTTTTACAGAAAACTCCATCACCACATTGTGGCCATGTATACATATCCTTTTTTTATACAATGTACCTACCAATAGTTAAATATACTGATTTTGATTTTGAATCAACAGGTCTGCGGTTTGAATCCCAGGCTGGGTTTTTATTTTCTTACGTGACCTTAAGTTCGTTACTTACAATTTTGCCAACTAAAATGTAGTTACTACCAAACTAAATCTAGTTAGACAGTATTACCAACCACAATGTGGTGATGTGGTTGGCTGTAAGAATGAGCGTGGATATGTATTTCTGCCTCTAAAGGTTTCCTGCGAAAGATCTTTATGACACAAGCAGTAATATTGCAGCATTCTGACATTCAGTAGTCCCCCACTTACAAAGCCCTTAATTTCTAAGAGGGAGTTTTTGCTGGCCTTTTTTGCTGAGAGAATGTGGGTTCAGCTTGATCAAGATAAAACAGTAATTAAGCAAAAAAGATTTAAAAAATAAAACTCAGGCAAAAATAAGTTAAAAAATAAGCATATGAAAGAAAGAAAGCCAAAGTTACACTTCGCTTCTGAAAATGCCAATATCGTTGGCGAAAAGTACTTTAAGCTTAACTTAAGTTTTCTTTTTTTTCAAGTACCTTATCTTATATGCATCATTCTTTTATACATTGTTCAAAGATACTAAAAACATTAACCCAAGTAGAACACTTTTATTGTCCCAATATTCTATAAATATTCGTATCAGATTTGTAAAATATTGTTTTGCTAATATGTACCCAATAAGTAAATGTGAACATTTGTCTACATTGGTGCAATATTAATTTCTAGTTTACTTGGTTAAATATTTGTGTGTAATATTGAAGAAATAAGCAAAGAACTATATTACATCAATATATTTTACGTATTTTGTGTCAATATTATTAATTATTTATAGCATTAATATTACATTACTAATATTTATTCGTTACATATTTTTCATATATATATTATTATATATTATATAATATATTGGTGCAATATTAATTTCTAATATTGCTTTAATGATGTGTTAAACATATTGAACCAAAATAGTCCAGTTTACTTGGTTAAATATTTGTGAGTAATATTGAAGAAATAAGAAAAGAGCTATATTACATCAATATATTTTACGTATTTTGGGTCAATATTATTAATTATTTATAGCATTTATATTACATGACTAATATTGGAGATATGTTGAAAACGGTATAACAAAGTAATATTTATTCGTTACATATTTTTCATATATATATATTATTATATAATATATAATAATAATATATATTATAATAGATTATTATATATAGGCTCCTATAATGTTGTTTACTTACTTAAATTCTGTATAGGGAAATCAAAAACGATAAACTAATAAAAAATAAAATATTTATTGCACATTTGCTTTATAACAAAATAAAATAATAGGTACTTCTATATATAAACATAACAAAATAAAGAATTTTTTAAATAAACAAGAAATAAAAATAATTTTTAAAACATTTCTTATATATAATATATGATACATATAATATAACTATTATATACATTCTATGTTTCTGTTGGTGCAACGTTTCTCTAAAATAAATAAAAAATTAAAATAAAATAATATATTTCCCTTAATACTAAAACTAGATAACTTAAAAATCACATAATTGAATACGAGAGATAATGCAAGCTATTATTCACGAGGATGAGGTTTGCGTCGCAAGCCGCCAGGCGAGATACCTAATTAGCTAGATCATGCGAGTGAATAATGCGCATTATCTCGAGGTTAATACTATGCTTTTTCTACTCTATATAAACAATTTTTAAAACTAAATTAATTCAATATGATAACTAACATTATTCCCGTTGTCAAGCGGTTATAATAAATACCATTATACATGCAAACAAACTAAATAATGTTAATATTATGCAATTGGAGTAAAAAACACATTTTAAAATTTGTGTGTATGAATTGGTAAAATTTTGCAGTGGCGCTGGTGGATTTTGGGCGCACCCATATCTCACTTATTAGACATGGGACCCACATCCAAATTATATGTGTTTATAATGACATTATATAGACAAGTTCTGCGCAAGCAGAATGTAAATTGAAGTTTGCGAAAAAAAGTTAGTGTGTCTAATAACTGAGATATGGGTGTGCCCAAAATCCACCAGCTGCCACTGAAATTTTGCTTGGCTAAAACATATATCCATATCTTTGTTGCAAAGACAAATATTTATTTATAGTGGTTGCATTGATTATAAAACTTCGAGTAAATTACATAGAACTGAATTTGTAAAAAATTATCCAGTTAAAGCAATTTGACGCGATATACATTAGTTGATACAAAAAATATTTACCACTCTATCCTTTCTACCCCCTTGGCGATCACCAGATGTCGCTAATGATAGGCCTATTTCCTTTAAAATCTCATGCTCCGAGGCGTTCTCCACTCTTAAACGTGTTGCTTCTAAAATTGCATAATATTATGAATGAATGAATTTAATAAAAAATATTTACCAATAACAACGGTGCATAATTTTAGTTCGGAAATTTTTTTTTTCGAGCGTTTTTTATTGTTAAATAAAAAGGCTTTAAGGATATTTTCTCGAAAAACTCGTTAATACGTAAACTAAGATATAAGTTGAAGTTTATTTTTATACAAAATTTGATAAAGAATTTTAATTTTGACGGGCAGTGTATGG